AGAGGTACGGAATCGTGAAGGGTATAAACTCGGGACGAGGTGAGTCTGAAAACGCTTGGGGCATTGTCAAAGAGAAAGATTTGGTTGGTATGTGGTCCTGAGGCCCTGGTGACCAAGATGTCGTATTAACATCTATCTGTCTTATGTGGTAAACAATGTGGCTAATGCCTTTAGAGACTGCGGACGCACTGGAGACACAATAATCATCGTGATTTTGGAGAGGGTCAGAGATCCGCACGTTAGTCTCAATACAATAAGTTCCGAAATAAAATTCATACTCCGATTGAGATTCTGGACTGGACAAACATCCGGTTGTTCCGACATGCTGCCATCATGTTAGAAAGAAATGCAGGCCTTTTATTTATTTTCGTTTTCGGTCGAAGTTCGTGTATGTGGACGAACCAATGGCCTAGGTTAAATGATCTCAAGATCAGTACTTAAAACAGGGACTCCATGCAAGTGCTTGAATGACCAGCATCCGATTGCAAGGGAGGACAGAGCGGAGAATCAACGTATCGTCATTATGTATAAGTAGCGCGGAGTGCAGAGAGTACTTTAGGTATGTCTGTGTCTTTAGGTAGGTAATAAAAGCTAACAAATACACTGAAAACCGGAAAGGGATGTAAGAGGTTACGCTGCGAGAAAGAGTGCAAAGGAGATCTAACGTGACGAGGTGAGGTGGACTGATATGCGTGCGATATATGTATAGCGAGGGGATCACAGCAGAGATATAAGTATGCAAGTTGAAGAATAAAATAAAAAAGAAAGATCCATTGCAAAAACAACGCCTACTCCTTTCTCCCGAAATCATCCCCAAACACCTCTCTCAACACCTCCTTCACATCTTCTACGTAGACAAATTTGATACCCTCCTTGACACTCTCCGGCACATTCTCCTCAATGTCAGCCTGATTTGCCGCTGGAGCAATGATCGTCTTTATCTGTGCCCGGTGCGCAGCGAGGATCTTCTCCTTGAGACCTCCAACGGGAAGGACTTGGCCTACGAGAGATATTTCTCCTGTCATTGCTACAAAAAGGTCGCGTCAGTCGTGTTCTCTTCTCAACACTTCAGGGAAAGAGATACTCACCAATATCTCCATTAACCCTCCTCCCCGTAAACAAACTAACAAACGCTGTCAAAATCGCCGTTCCTGCACTCGGGCCTTCCTTTCCTATCGAGCCCTCTGGCATATGTACGTGGATATCTTTCCCTTCTAAGAAGCTCTCATTGGGCGAGTTTGTTATGCCCAGTTCGTAAGCATGGGCTTTGACGTAGGATAAAGAGATTTGAGCAGATTCGCGGATGACTTCGCCGAGTTTACCAGTCAGGGTCAGGGAGCCTTTGCCTGGCATTGACTAGAGGGAGACGAACGAGTTAGAACGACGTCATTGCATAGAGAAGTGAACTGAAAGATACCATAGCTTCGACAGGCATAACAGCCCCACTTCCATTACCCAAGTACCCCAGTCCTGTCGAAACACCCGGAGGAGGCTCATTCGCGTACATCCTGTCCTTTTGATATATCGGTGGGCCCACATAGTCTTTCAGGTTCTCAGGCGTAATCCGGATATGTACGGTCGGGGGAATGGTCATAGGTTGACGGGTTAGAGTTGTCACGGTCTTTTTATTCTTTTTTCCGTCTTGTTCCAAGGTTGAAGAGGCGGTAGAGTCTGAAGAGGAAGAGGTGGTAGCAGGCTCATTCGGAGGAGGCGTCGTCGACTCTTCTGCCTCCTTGGTCGCTGTCGTCGCTTCACCGTCCTTTTTGGCTTCTTCGGGGTCAGGCTCGGGGAAGACTTCCTCACCGAGGTCTTGGACGATCTTGAGTGCTGCTTTACGGTAGATCTGTCATTATCGTGGTCAGCGTCTTGGGTTTTGGACGCAACAAAGATGAAAGAAATGAAAAGGAATGTCCGTCCGTCCAAGGCGGAGAGAACAGAGAACAGGAACAACACAACTCAAAAAAAGATGGACAGCATCGAAGACAGATACATCAATACTCACTTTGTCAATACTCTTCTTCAGATTCCTAACCCCACTCTCCCTACAATAATACTTGATCAACACGTCTATTGCATCGTCTGTCAACACCACGTCTGTGCCGTCCCCTTGCGCTGCCGCGGTCGCAACCTCTTTGCCATGCTCTTCCTTGCTCTTCTTTTCGTTGCTCTTCTCACCGGAAGAAGCCTCTTCCTCAGCTGGAACGATGATTTCCGCCGGTCCTAAACCCGCACTCTTCTTCGCTTGAGGTCCAAGATACCGTCTTGCAATCTCGGCTTTTTCTTCGCTCACGTAACCGGATACTTCTAGAACTTCCATCCTATCGAGGAGAGGAGCGGGAATGGTGGATAAATTGTTGGCAGTACAGACAAATAGGATATGTGAAAGATTGACGGGAACGTCCATGCTATAAAAAAACGGAGGAGAAAAGAAAAGGGGTCGTATTAGCATTCGTATTTTTAGTCTATCGACAAGAATAGAGACTCACTAGTGATCCAGGAAACTATCATTCTGCTCTGGATCCAACATTTCCAACAAGGCCGAACTAGGATCTCCATTATGCCCTCGTCCAATCTTATCAATCTCATCAATGAGAATCAAAGGATTGGACACGCCTACACGGCGAAGGGCTTGGATCGGTTTACCTGGAAGGGCGCTAAACGGTTCGGTTAGCTTTCGTTCACTTTAGGCAAGACAGAGAGGGACGCATACCCAACATAAGTCCTCCTATGCCCTTTAATCTCCGCAACATCCGTAAGTCCACCAACCGAAAACCTGAAAAACTCTCTCCCCAAAGCTCTCGCTACACTCTTTCCTACACTTGTCTTGCCGACACCTGGAGGTCCGACAAGGAGGATGATCTTTCCTTCTACTGTACCCCTCAACTTGCCCACAGCTAAAAATTCTAGAATCCTCGATTTGACGTCTTCCAATCCGTAATGGTCTTCGTCTAGAACCCGACGAGCATGGGTGATTGAAAAGTTTTCCGGGGAATGAACGCCCCAGGGAAGAGTGGTCAGCCATTCGAGGTAGTTTCTAGTGACGTTGGCTTCGGATTGGGACGGTTCGAGTGTAGAGAGTTTGTTGAGCTCTTCTTCAAAGACTTTTTTGACTGTTTCTGGCATCTTTAGTCCGGGGATACCTTCCTCTGGTTTCCCGTCTACTCGTTCTCGGAAACGCTGAATAAGCTTCTCTCTCCCGTCTCCTTCTAGGCCGAGTTCCTTCTTGATACCCTTGAGCTGCTCCATGAGGTAGTACTCTTTTTGCCTTTTAGCTATTTTAGAATCTACATCTCGGGAGATCTTGTTCTGGAGCTGGGCGTTGATGAGCTCCTTCTTGAGAACGAGAAGAGCCTTTCGTAGACGGTCAGGAACAGAGAGCGAGGCGAGAACTTCCTGGAGCTCATGTGTGGAACCAGAGGAAGAGGATACAGCCGCTGCAAAGTCGGCGAGTTTGTCGGGTTCGTCAAAGACGTTTGAGGAGACCTAGTGGAGAGTGGAGAGTCAGACGCAGGCGTAATCTAAGTATAGGAAAAGAAACACACATTACTTACCTGGTTGATGCTGAAATTCGTAATCTGATCCCTAAACAACGGGTTCAACTGCGCGATATCCTTGAACACGGAGATAATCTCGCTCATGAATGCCCTGACGTGTTGGGACTGCTGGCCGTCCTTGTCTTTGGCATAGGGCTCAGTGCTGAGGTTGACGACGTTGACAATAGAGATTGGGTAGGAGTGTAGGAAGGAAGTTTGGATTGGGCCTAGGAAAAAAAGGGGTGTTAGTAAAGTGGCTTTACTGAACGAAATACAACGTACCAAGTGCAGAAGCCGGTTCCTGAACTTCAGTTTGTTCCTTTACACCTTCTGCCTCTGACTCTGGAGCGGGCGAAGATGGAGGCGTAGGCAACTGTGCTTCCTCTGCATCCACATCTTCCACTTTAGCCTGTGAGAAAGGCGTCTCTGCAGTGCCAGCCTTGACAAGCTCTGTAATCTTTATCCTCCTATGAGGATAAAGCACTGCCGTGAGACCTTCTTCCTCTTTCTGCTCCTTGCCTTTCTCTCCTGGTGCACCGGGTGCCGCTCCCTCTGAGGGGGTGGAAGCAGGAAAGACAGAAGTGATTTGAGCGAATACGCCCACATCGTAAACCTTGTTCAAATCCGTGATAACGTCCGCATCCTCATTATCATCTTTGAGGAGAAAAGCACCGAGATAAGGTTGACCGCGTTTCATCATTTCCTTTATGGCAGAGACGACAGCTGGATTACGAATGACGACGGCCTTGTAGAAACCAGGAAAGAGGGGACGGCGGGCGATAGGAAGAGCAAGGAGTTGGGGATAGTTTTCGGGTATGGAAGGTTTGGCGATGTTGGAACCAGAAGAGCCAGAACTAGAATTAGAAGAAGAGCCAGACGATGAAGAGCCAGAATTGGAACTGGAGTTGGACGACGAGGAGGAAGGGGGAGCCTCATCTTCCTCTCCTCCATCTTTACTAGATGCTCCCTCGTCTCCCTTATCCCCCTCTTGCTCATCAGAAGCCCTCGTACGCGAATTTATCCACCTCGGATACCCCAACACGGGTGTCCTCCTCGCCTCTGCTGAAAAGCTCTGCGAAAACGTTCTTGGGTGTAGCGGATGACGAGGTCCACATTGCGTTCGGTACCGTCTAGATGCGAGCGCCAGCGACGTCGACGTCAACGTGCTCGTCGTTGTCGTTGTTGACGGCGAGAAGAAGGAAAATGACGACGATAAGAGGTTTCTTCGCCGTGTACATGTTGTTGGAGACGATGAGGAAAGGGTCGTCAGCGTCGTAGCTGACGACGACAACGTTCGTCTGGACATTGTGGTCGACGTTGACCAAGACGCGTACGTCACAACTCGAGTTTTTCAGCCAATGAGTCAGCAGTTGCTTATCTGATAAGATAGCACGCCATCGAGTCTAGAACTTTGGCGAAAAAACTGCAGTGGCTGTAAAAAAGATTCTGCAGCTGGTGAGAAGTTGTTAGCAGCAACTTGTTTCGATCAAGTGACCTCGGGGTACAGCCTAGAAGATGGGAATATGGGCCCCGCGCGCTACCACTGCGCCATGCTGCTTGACACGCTGTAATCTTTGCTCATGCACTCGTCTGCCCTGTAATTGGAATTCCCGGCCCCTAAGAACCTTGCATTGGAGCTACATACATATTCAGAAATATCTGCCCCGAACGGCCGCATCACTCTACCCAGATTGGCTCGGAACATCTCGGCTGGCTCAATGCTTTCTTTACCAAGGCCCAATCTCAAGTCGCTTCTTATCTCTGACTCACTTTCAACAGAAACCTTTGAAGGAACCACGTCTTACTATTTGAGTTGTAGCACTCGGCGACAGCAGAGGTGATGCGTCAAATCATGACTCGGATTTACAAAGTACTTATTTTTTGAGTCGCCACCTCATTTCCACATTTCTCGTTTACTCCCAAGCCAAAGGTAGACTACAGTAAAAGATACACTGAACTCCAAGTCTCAGCGCTCAGTAATCAGCACTCGTAAGCACGTGGATGATCTTCTGTCCAAAAAACAAAGCAGACCGAAGATCAGCGACATCAGATCATCACCATAAAAAGAATCTCCACAGACTGAGCTAGCCTCGCCAGCGATTCATAGTGACATGTGTTTGACTTTCAAGTTTAACTTCGATGATATACATCGGAATCACTTGACGCCCGAAGCAAGTCTGACCAGATACCTGCTCAGTTGAATGATGCTGATCATTAAGACACCCCTGGTAAGTGCTAAATATTAACAGCATCAATCAAAGTGGGGAGGTCTAGAGAACAGGCGGTGACTCGGATATTTTTGTGAACTGCCAGTGTGGAGGATAAGGGAATCGAGATTAGTCTTCATCAATTTACAATTAAGTGGACCATCTGGACATGGCTTGAATTAGCGCTTCATGCTCTCTTCGAGCCCATGATCCCCTGATAGTGTGCTGTTAGCTGTTTAAGTACTCCTAATGCGAACATATAAAGCAGCAACTGCGGAGTGACATGAAAAACTCAACACACAGGCATCAAATCCTCAAACATACAGGATGTCTGCTTCCCAACAGTCTCTTCCACTTTCCGATCCCGATGTCTCAGTCTTGAAAGACTGGATTGCCGAAACAGCGCTTAGCTTTCTCTTGTGCGGTGTTTACTTGACACTCTCAACCACAACCATCTACCTATTCACGTAAGTTTTGCTTGAACACTCTTATTTTGTTTTGAAAATAATCCATGTTTACACTGTAGACGCCGCAAGCTCCTCACCTCTCAACACAAGTCCAAAATCATCTTATTTTTCCTAACAACTCTGATGCTGTTCACTTCTCTCACATCTATAATCCTTCGAGCACAATTTGCCATATCCCAAGTCCCCTTACTTGGATTTAATCCACCAGATGCAGAGGATGTCACCCCTTTTCTGACGAATTCGGTTGTTGTTACTGCTTTTCTTGATAGATTCAACGTACGCATGGTCATTTACTGTAATCACAAAGCGCATACTTAATACCTCTAGTATGTCCTCAGCGATGGCATCGTAGTCTGGAGAGCCTGGATATTGTTCCCTAGGAACCTAACTGTCAAGATTATCCTTTCGATTTGTGTAATTGGATCAGCTGGTGAGTATCTACCATAGAAAGAAACTTTGTCTAGATTTACTTACCATCTTCATCTACCAGCTGGTGCATTTATAAATGTCGGCATCGCAACAAAAAGAGTACTCACGAGTGGATATACTGATTCGGATTCGGGGAAGTTCAACCCGTTGATTATGACTCTGCCTCTATTTTGTACGAATGTGATTGCTACGGGGTTGATTGGGTGTAAAGCTTGGTGAGTAATATTTCTTTTCAAACCAACCAGTTAGTGCAACCCAAAGTCTGACAAGTAGATCCTCCCTTATCTTCCCCCTTCCCTCTAGGTATCACCGAAGAGATATCAAAAAAAACCTCGGATCTACATATAGTTCGACAAGTAGGATACAGAAAATCCTTCTACTTTTGGTTGAATCGGGGATTATTTACTGTGTATTATGGGTGAGTGTATGCTACCCGAATTGGGTGAAAGAAAAATAACTGATAAACTTGAATCACCCTTCCGTCGGAAAGATTGTCTACGCCTACATAGGAGTTTCCACGCAATCAAACTCGAGTCTTTCTTTTGCTCTTTATGCAGTTATAATGCCAAATTTATCAGTGAGACATCAATTTTTTTTGGAACTATTCTTCTCACTATCTATTATCATAGGCAATATACCCAACCCTCATCGTTCTCATAGCTGCACTTGAACATGTCAGGACAGACTCCTCGGACGTGCATAATTTATCACTATCCCAATCGATACGATTTGCTTCATTAGGTCAACTGGCTACAAATACAACCTTTACCAGCTCCCAAACCAATGGTATGGGGCCCGTTACAGTTGTTGAGAACAGATCAATAGAAATGGAGGAGCTCTATAAATGTGAGGATGCTTCTCTGGTGCTGAAATGAATGAAGAAATGGCGCAATAGGAGTGGCTATCACAGTGAGAAAAAATTATACAATTATCTATTAAATAACTAGCTGGTCTATGTTTTATATTTGTATATAAGTAGAATGCATAGCATACACGGAACAGTTATGTAGCCTTTTCAGAGTCAAAGATAGCTTAAAATGTACAGATCAAAGCTTACTATGATTAACATGGTTTGCACAGTACAGCAGCACTGGGGTGGAGTGGCCCGGTACTGCTATTTAAAACCAGTGATTCTACCCCAAAATCTGCTCTACAAAATGGATTTTGAACAGCTTTTACATCGTCAAACATTCCATGGGTTTTTTTTATTCACCTGAGTACTCTTTCAGCTGAAATTTTTCATATCTGCCCAGCTTTTCTGCCTGGAGACTCATGATCATGATAATATAAATACTACATAATTATAAAGCAAAATCTTAGTCTGCTTATTCTCACTTTTATTTCTCTCCTCGTCATCCATATTTTATACATCAACGGACTCAAACACTTCCGCCTTGAATCATTCATCAATGGACAACTCCAAACTCGTGTTGCCATTGTCACGGATGCTACTAAAGGTATCGACCTGTCAATCTTGTTGCCCACAGATATCATGTCACTACCGGTCCAGATTACTTAGCTCGACTCGCTTCGGGGTCAAAGCTGCAAAAAAGAACAAAGCAATTGCTGTAGTACCAGCGGATGCCAATATCGGAACAAGATGTAAAGAACCTCATCCATGCCACGTCTTTTCGGTTAATGATGATAGCCAACACAGGAGCGATTCGGATCTATTTAGGATGCAAGCAGCGTCGGTATCGGAACTGGGATGCGTTTATCATGATACTGTTGATGCGAAGCTTGGAATTTCCTATTATTGGCCGTAAGCGTGGAGGTAATTCTTGCTCCCTTGCTGGTAAAACAAAATTATATGATGATCGTCGCAAAGCGACCCGATACTTCAACTTCCAATTTTTTGAATTTGCGCAGCTCCAAGCCCCTCATTTGATGGATGGTACTTGGCTTGACAGAGTATCAGAAAGATCTATTAGTCGCAGTCCTGCTTATAGTCCAGTACTACAGATATCAACTCAAATTGGCATTTGTCCTCATCCAGCGAGGTCGTTTTAAAAAGGAGTAGATCTGCCAGGCCATGGCTTGTCAGCCGACTCGTTCCGTATGAAGGCTGTTGGTATGGACGAGAGTCCCGAATTTGCCTAGGTTCTGTGGTGTGAGCTGTAAAAGCGTGGCTCGGGCCGATCCGTCCGGAACAGAGAACTGCGAATTTGGAACGATAGGAGGGCTCTCGCAAAGACCTTGTGAGCTATTTATGGAATGGAAGACTCGATAGGACGACTCCCGCGTCTTCCAAAGCAATGTACAAGTACAGTTAGGGGTATGGGGAGTTAATCGAAACAACCTGAAATTAGTCTTTCCGGCGGCATCAGAGAACGCTTCCTACTATGCCGCCGGTGCGCAGCTTCGACTCCAGGGTTGCAGAGACCAGTATCCGCCGGTTTACTTTCTTCGCAGGAACCTATTTAACAATTGCACCCATTTATCGAAATTGAAGTGTAGCCTGGAAGAGTCGAGAATAAGTAGCTCTTGGACTCGGACCTATTTTTGGCTAGTACATTCTCCCGTTGTATCAGGCCGCTGGTCAGTACTTCAATGGCTCGCTCTAATCAAACAATGCACAATGCATGAAAATTGATCCAGATGCAGCCCTTTGGTAGCTGATCGTTTTCTGACGGATTTTAAAACATGAAGTTCCGAGAACAGGTGGTTCTTGCCGCGGGCCGCGGCAAGAATTTCATCGGCTTGTAGAGTCATACCGCGGCCAGCGGCAGACAGTCCCGGCATTCTGTTTCGGGTTTACGTACCGGGCCTAAAACAGTAGTCGATGAAGACCATGATTCTGTCACGGATCGGTTTTTATTTCCAATATACAGCTCTTTGCATAAATGTCTACCGGTTCCACTTGAAAGGCTCCTGTTTATTTGTATTTATTTGTCCTATTCAAATCGTCCTTTTTTGGGTCTGAAAGTTGCTTTCTGACGTATCCTGATGGTTCCAGTGTTCCTGGGCTCAGAAAAACCCTGAAAACTGTATTGAGCACCGCTATGGATAGATACAAATAAACAAAGGCTCGCAAAGTTCAACCGGTAGACATTTATGCAAAGAGCTGTACACTGAATCTGGTACTTAAGAAACTTAGAAATGCCTGTCAAACAAACCGAACTGAACCTTCGATTCGCCGACTAAGGTAATCGTCACATGATCGGATCACGCTGTTGTTGTGCTTCCTTTCTGCGGACGATGACAATTCGAGCCGTATCATCTCTGAAGCCTCTTTGGCTACCTCAATTTCCCTCGACACAACACGTCAATAAGATTCATTCTTTTTACAGAACACTTTTCACTCGAAGCCCTCACGTTGAAAACATCAGAAGAAAACTTCCCTGTATGTATTCTTTTTCGGACGTAGTCACCTCTTTGAGCCAAATCTCGACAGTACCTCGAAAAAATGCCCATTTTACAATGAACATTATAACAAGGCATTATGCGGTATCCAA